GGGTCACAGATGATGGTATGCTTCTCCCATGTGGGCTTAGTTGACATCTCACTTAAATGCCTTGTTTGGATACAAGCCTTTAAGACCCCAGACACCACTCTCTCTTCCTCCCCCTTCATTTGCTCCCAGACATGTCCCTCTCCCGGAGCTGCAGATTCAGTGCTGTCCTCCGAAATAAATTCTTTTGGGGGGGGGGGGCAGGTGTCCACGTAGTTGGGACACATCCATTAACTTTCAATATCACTTTCCCCACAAACATTTTCATGTCCCCACATAAATACCTGGATGGCTACTGTCACTTCCAGGCTGGCCATCCCCAGCTGACCAACGTACCTTCTGATCCTGTCTAGGAAAACAAGAACCTCCTCTGCGACGTCCCTGGGCCACTTTCTGCAGGGCATAGCCACCTCCATGCTGCTGGGTGAGGGCTGCAGCTTCCTGGCCGAAGTCAGATGAAGGACAACTAGATTCAATTCTGCTTTCTTTAGAGGACTGCAGTCCCGGAGTAATGCCCTAAGCTGCTACCCAAAAGGTACGTGCCCTGAGGGGCATGGGGAGGGGAGGGTCTCATCACTTATTTCTGAAAACAAACAACAAAACCACCCACTGAAGACTCTCTGTAGCAGAGAGTCTTTGGGTCGGCATGGGTCATTGCTGACTCCTGGCAACTGGTGTCTTTAAATGACTGACATGCAAGACCTTGATCAGGAATTTTTGAGGCGCGCACAGGGTGACTCTGGCCTTCCTTTGCTTTGATTTGGAAGTGTAAGATGTGTCTTCAGAACTACTGAGAGGCTGGGGCATCTTCAGACTCTCCTTTTGCTCGTGCATAGCAGCACAGTGGGTTGTGCAACCTCTGATTTTCATGCCTGATGGCCACCCACGTGCCAGAACTGGCTGGGCACTTTGTGGTTTAAGATGTCATGCTACCCTTGAGTGAGACTGAGAATGTCTTAAGACATGGTGTCCCTACGCAAGCTCTCCCTTACTAAGATGGTGTTGACTCTGTAGAGGAAAGATGTCAATTGCTCCCATTTTACAATGGGAAATCATCTTTCCTAGCCCCACAGGGACAGTTACTTGCCTTCATGCCTACTAGTGGGAGGCCCTTTCCATCTTTCTGAAAAGTGCCACCAGCAGTAGGAACCTTCACAAATGATTTCTTGGGTACCCACAAAAGCAGAGGGATGGGGATGGAGCAGATGGCCTCTCAGTATCCACAATGGCAAGCATATGGCCCCAGCTCTTCAAACTTTCTAAGACTTCAGAAGAGCTAAATGGAAAAACAGGGGCAAAGAATGGAGTTGGCCATGTTTTCTCAAAAAAGGGTCTGACAGCATTAATAAGCTCTTCCCCTTTAACGTTTAGGACAACGTTTAGGACCACCACCACCACCACAAGAAACCTCAGTAATTAAGGGAGGTCTTTATGTGACTTCCCTATTGGACAGATTAGTGACTGCTGTGGCCTCAATGACAGGCAGCAGTCTCCTAGAGAAAGCAAAAAGCCCACTTTATGGAGACCGACTGACAACTTTGACCCCCTCCTTTGCTACCATACCTCATTGCAGAGGGTTATATAACCAAGGGGCTCTTTTAAAAGATTTTCAGCCATACACTATTCGTCCATGAAATTTACCATTTCAGGCATTATCCTTTTCTTTAAATCTATGAAACATCTCTGCTAAGAGGACTGAGACATGCAATGAGAGCAACAAAAGCTTCTTGCTAGTTTTCACTAGCAAGATCTCAGAACTCATACGATTTCTGATAAATTTCATGAGCATTTTCTTCTGAGATTTGGTCATTCCTCTGCCTTTCATTTCCTGAGACATGTGCTGAGACGCCCAAATCAACTCAGTTCCGCTAAACGCTTAAGTGAAAGGAGTTTCTTATTCATGTAGGTTATATCCCTCAGGTTAAAAATCAGAGGAAAACTCACCTTCCCGACACGATTGCTGAAGACAAATGGGTGCATAAGCAAATGTGGTGGAGAAAGCTGATGGAGCCCGGCTATCAAAAGATATGGCATTTAGGGTCTTAAAGACTTAAAGGTAAACAAGCAGCCATCTAGCTTTGAAGCAACAAAGCCTACATGGAAGAAGCACACCAGCCTGCATGATCACGAGGTGCCAAAGGGATCAGTTATCAGGCATCAAAGAACAAAAGATCGTATCATTGTAAATGAGGGGGAGTGCAGAGTGAAGACCCAAAGCCCATCTGTAGGCAACTGGACATCCCCTTACAGAAGGATCATGGGGAGGAGCGGAGCCAGTCAGGGTGCAGTGTAGCAACGATGAAACATACAACTTTCCTCTCGTTCCTAAACGCTTCCTGCCCACCAACTATCATGATACCAATTCTACCTTCCACATCTGGCTAGATCACAGGATGTACACTGGTACAGATAGGAACTGGAAACACAGGGAATCGAGGGCGGATGATCCCTTTAGGACCAGTGGCGAGAGTGACAAACGGAGAGGGTGGAGGGAGGGTGGGGCAGAGGGGAACCGATTATAAGGATCTACATAAAACCTTCTCCCTGGGGGACGGACATCAGTAAAGTGGGTGAAGGGAGATGTTAGACAGTATATGACAAAATAATTTAAATTATCAAGGGTTCATGAGGGAGGGGGTTAAATGAGCTGATGCCAGGGGTTTATATGGAGATCAAATGTTTTGAAGACGAGGGTAACGTATGTACAAATGTGCTTTATACAATTGATGTACATACGGATCGTGATGAGAGTTGTGAGCCCCCCAATAAAACGATTTAAAAAAATCAGCATAAAACCAACTTAAGAGGCTAAAATCTACACACACACACACACAAATCAAAGATTGCCAAGGTAAATTTTACTATTTTATTTGTGAAAAAACTACAAGCAGAATTCATAAATAGACATTTCTATTTAAAGCAGGAAAATGATAAAGTGGCTTCTAACATAGTCGTGCACATGCCAGTAACAGGAATATATTAACATCTTTTATTTGCTAGACAAAGAGCAGTGTCCAATATAAATTTCCCCAAAACATTTAAGACCTGTGAATTTCTGACCAGTTCACAAAACCACTGACACTTTAGCATGAAGAAAAAAACAAACCTAACAGACTGTCAGCTCTAAAGACGGTACAGAGCAGAAACTTCCAGAGCGTTATACAAGCTGTCTTTCTGGGCAAATGAAAAATATAGCTCGTATAATACATTAACAAAAATTCACAAGATTATGTTTTGACATACTTAACAAGCATTCTCTATTTGTCTCCAACAAACAAAGCTAAGGAAATAATGTAACCATCTTTACACAGTAAATTAAGGTTACAAGTCATACACAAGAACAGAACGGCTTGCGCATTAAAAACTGTTCAGCTCCATTGTCTTACTCTAAATGTTGGCTCTTCAAACCACTTTTCCCCCCCGGTTACATACAAGCAAAGATTATATATTCAGCAATTAATAAATTTTCAATAATTTAAGATACGGTAGCTTAAAAAAAGTAGACGGAGAATGGTCTTTGATAAGGCAGGTGAAACATCTTAGTGGAACTAAACTCATAGAAGCTTCTGCCCATGTTTTTAAATTCCAAATTTAAACGGAAAGGTTTTGATTAACGTTATTTGTGGGTGTCAAGATGCCCTTACCCATTTTTTAACTGCAAGACTCAGGCAGAGCAAGTCCGGTAAGCTCTGCTTTGCGCACGCACACAGGCGCGAAGATCCTGTGGCATTCAACAAAGGGAGCCTTGCAAGCCTAACACTGTGCTTTTGCGTGTTTCTGAACCTGCTTTCTGTGCCACTGAATACCAAGTATTTCTGGTCCTCTCTTTAATAGAAATCTTTAAAATCTATACTAGTGTTTTGACGTGCTGCCTACTACTTGTAGGGCAAACTGCAAATGCATAAAGTGACAGGAATTCCATTTCCAAAATATGTGCCTGAGGGATGTCATCCATTTCAGAAACTGAGGGGCTAGGCACCTGCCACCTGGCTGCCATGACAGAATGCAGAACGGCCGCCAAAGGACCAGCCCCATTGTCTCAGATGGGTCCCGGCTACTTGCTGCAGTTCCTCCCCAATGGAAGTTTCCTTCCACCTGGTTCAAGCCCAGTTCCCTTCCAGCACCCCTCCCCCACTTTCCATTTACTTTGAATTTATCATGGAGGCAAAACTGAAAAACCAAGACACTGACAATGAATTAGCAGCCTATGAGTAGCTGGTTTATCAGCTTTTCCCACTAATACGGTGGTCCAATCACTTTACATGAAACTAATTTTGCAAGAATAACAGTGTTTGTGAACAAAGTGCAGATCAACACTTATGGTTCAAAAAGCAGTGCGACCCATGTGAGTTTGGTGGCATTTGAATTTTTTAAAACGTTAATTAAAAAACATTGTCCTTATACCTCTGGAAAATAAATATGGCTGGCTAATTTACACCCTCCCTGAGACCCTTAATAAAAGGAATATTAAAACGTTATAAGGAATGTCTTTGCAATATCCCACTAATATTAAAATGTGGATTTAAAATTCATAGTCAAATCACTATATATTTTGATGCCTATGGAAAGCATCTGATTTCCTTTGGTTCATTAATAAATACTTTAAAAATGTATTTAAAAAAGAGGACCACTTGCATCCAGATACAAGTATTCTTTTAAAAAGAAGGGAACATTGTCCATGCGTTTGAGAATAGGATCACAGCAACAAATGACACTGCTTTGTAATCGATACCTTTTTAAGAACATAATTTGAACAATGGTACACCAGTGACTACAGGGTAGTTTTAATGTAAATGTGAAAGGAACATTTCCTGTCGGCTACTCAAATCCAGCTGTTAATTTTTTCTTAAAAATGTGTTGCCTCCACAGACAAGTTACTTCTATATTCATACCCAAACCGGTTTTTGAAAGATGAAAATGTGGTGCTTAAATGATAGCTACCCTACTGGAGGATGTCAGATGAAGAATGTGAGCAGAGTTCCCACGTGTCAAATGACTCTCAAGTACTGTGAATTTGGTGAGTAAGAATGGACAAGTGGCGAAAGAGAGAGCAAGCTATCCAGGGGGGGCCCCACCCCACCCCCATCCAGAACAAGAGAAATGTAAAATTGGGAGGTGTGCATTCCTGTCAGTGGTCTTTGTTTTTTGCAAGACGGTGAAAAAAATCACAATAAAAAGAAACTTTAGAATTTAGTCAAATTATCTTTATGTCAAGGAAGAGATCACACACTCGCCATCAGCACATACATTCCGTGAATCTGGTTGCTGATGGCGCTAAAGCCATTCACAATTTGAGTTCTTCCCACAGCAGGGAATTGAGGCATGCCTCCAAGCCAGCAGTGGCTGTGTGGTGGATAACCTTTCTTTAGTGAAGCAAACAATAGTCAATTTTAAGAGAGAAAGGGACGTAGTTCTCACAACTGAATTGGTAGGGTGAGGAGTGAGGCAGAGGGGACAAGAGGCAAATAGATTTTCAATTACCAAAAATCACCACAGCAATGTCACATGGGAAGTGGAAACAAGGAACTGCTTCCTGAGTGGACCAAAAAGACACAGTTCAGACTCTTTTAATCCTAAAACGAAGAGATAATTTTATAGCGTTACATCAGACATGGAGAGAAGTCTGGAAAATGGATGGAATTCAAGTGACAACACCACACTTTCATGAATGTATGTCGAACAGCGACGTTAACATGTAACCGTAATTTACATGAAAACTTGGCATTCTGGAGCTGGCCGCAGTGACGCTGGAATGATCAGAGCCCTCCCAAAACCACTCAGGATTTGTCAGTTATTCCATTGCAAATGCAGGCTACCTGGAGCAGTCTTTAAATTTGAGATCACATTGTTTTAAAAATATATAATTTTTATATTGTCCAGTACTCTTTAGACAGATGAGAGGTCAAGTTCCCACGTGGGTTGAAACATACTTCATGTAAAACTGATTTTAATCCAATTTCAGCACTTTCATAGAAGGGACTGTCCCAGATCTGTGACTGTTCAGAGTTGTATTCACTTCACAGTGTATCAAGCACCAGCGTTGCCATGGATTGGTTTCAAATAACCCTTTATATATAATTTTATATTTATATTTATATATAGTTATATCAAAACTGATAGTACATAGTATAACTAGAAGGAAGAACTAAACTTAAAAGGATATGCTGAAAAGATGAAGTCTGTGAACACAATAAATAAAAGTTCCCTCTCCCGCCCCCACCCCCCCACCAGAACAACAACAACAACAAAAAAAAACTCCAAAAAACCAGTTGTAATGTACATGGAAAATTGTGCACAGCAGATTTTTTTTCTTTTTTTTTATATAAAAAGTAGATTCAGGAGCACATCCAATTATAAATGATTGTTAGGAAAATCATATAAAACAATGGAATACATAAAAGTGTCAAGAGTAATCGTCAGGGCGCAGAATTTCTTGGCCAGATGCCCGTGGCAGCAGAAACCATCCCGGCAGCATCAGTGAGAGGCTGGTGTCCGCAGAGGCATCTCCGGGAGGGCACGCAGCCTGGGCAAGTGGAGGGTTTGAATTTCATACCCTGATTCATAGTTTTCACAATTCCATGTGCAATTTCAGAAAGACTCGTCATTGACTGCTGACATGTCGCCCTTGGGCGTTGAGGAGCGGGAGGAGCCCTTGTCTGTACTCTCTGACCCCGAGCTGCTCTGGTTCTGCTGTTCTGAGCCTGCACTGGAGGTCACCGTGGAGGAGGATGTCGAGGAGGAGCGAGTCTTTTCCTTAAAGTCTGTGATAATGACAGTGACGTTGCCCACAGTTACTGCCAACTGCTGCGCGGTGCTCCGGTCAACGTTTTTCAGCCTGGGCCTGAAAGCAATGCCACAGGGGAGAACAGGTTGTCAGAGAAATAACTGATCAGACTCTACTAGTAGAACAGCATCAGCATACACACAGATGTCTACCCATCCCCAGGCCTTTACAGAGAGGGCTGAGTCACTTCAGCAATGGCAGAAACCACACAGTGGTTGGCAGTTTTGAGAGCTAGAAAAAAATACTATTAATGCATCTTTCTCCTTTATTGTTTCAGGGATTAGGGGGCCACAGAATGGGGCAGTGATAGGAAAACTAGCTTTTATTTAACAAACAAACAAAATCTCCATCCCACACCAAGCCCTTCATCCCAGCCAGCCCTTCATAGTTATAGGAAGGAACCAATAAGCACAAAGCCACCCTGGGCCTTGCTCTTGACTGCAGAAATCAGCCATCGTTTTATCTCTGTTTAAAAGTACCTTGAGGTGTGATTCGTTTCACTGGTCTTTGTCGTGGCATTTGCAGACTGTATACTGTTTGCTTCACTCGGAGGATCTTTCAGAATATCTGACTTTGGTCTAAAAGAGGGGATTTAAAAGAGAGGCATTTTACAAAGGTGTCTTTAATTCAGCGGCAGATTAACGTTCACACACTCAGGTGGCCAGGAACTTACTTTGTTTTCTTGTTGGTGTTTTTCTTGGTAACACTAGGACTGATTTCCTTCTCTTTCTCCGGCTTCTCTTTGTCTGGCTTTTCCACCTTCTCTTTCTTCTCCTTTTTCGGCGGTGGGGGAGTAGCATACTGCTGGGCCACTTGTTGTGCCACGAGCTGAGAATTTATCCGAGGTTTTCTAAAAGGTTGAAGAAAAGGTATGTCACTAGTCGCTTCATTGCTTTAAACCTTTTATTTTGGTCTTTTGATTCCAAATTTAAACTCAATTACATGGTGATGTTTCTACATTATTATTTCTATGCAGTATGGGTAAATCCATAAAACGTTTTCTTCCTCAAATCCTCTCTAGTGTGCGCCCTTCTCTCCTGTGTTTATGTGGTCACACTGCACACATACTCCTGGGCAACACGTGTATGCCTGGGCAGGAAGACTCCTTCAGCCAATAAAATGCTCCTTTCTCTAAGAATGCTGAACCTGCTACTTCCTCTGAGCTGTCAAGATTATACTGACTGACAGCTTTCAAATACTCCTGGTTCACAGGGCTAATCTCATTTTATTTATTGGACACTGGTAATCCCTTCAAAAGAGAATGAAATTAGAAGTGTGACATTCCCTCTTCAATCTAATTATTCCGACATAGTCTGCTCCCCCGCAGCGCCATGATTGGCAGGGACAACATACACAGAGCAATGAAAGGTAACTGTGGTTCATACTCACTCTCAAGGGGACGAGGATTCAAAGTCACTATGAAAAAACGTAGACAACTGAGACATTCATTGTGCCACCAACAATTACGTCCACACCAATCTCCAACTGACACTGATTCTTAGCACTATTGTTTACAATTCTAAGTGATGCCAAACACTTTCACAATGCATGGCCATTCACAGGCCCAAATGGAAAAGGGAGAAAGGAATGTCTATGTAGTATTTCTATGTAATATGAATTTTCAAAGACTGCTGTGTCCAGACAGACATTACAGTACAATAAACTCTCCAAGCGCAAGGTAGAACAAAGAACCAAATAGGCCATTAAGGGAGAGAAGCAACAGGCGTCCAGAATGGATCACCCTTTGGATGCTGTGACTGCCTCTCCCTTCCCCAGGATGGAACAGAGGCCCCTCTGGGCGGCATGGTCTGTCAAAGGGATAGCCAGGCGGGGGAGGTGGGGAAGGAGAGACACAGGGAAACAAAACAGGGCTGGCTTTGCCTTGAATAATTCTGGCTACTCTTAGCAAGAAAGCAAAGAGACACAGTGAGCAAACAAGTAAATGGGCTTAGTGGCTAAGTGCACAGTATGCTAACCACCTAAATTATTTGGGCTATGGGAAACCAGGCAGTCGGTGTGATGTGGCAGACAAGGTGTGCAAGAGGGAGGGGATGAGATACTGCTGGGTGAGGCAGACCTGCAGCTACACATTTAGAACCTACTAAGAGGCACACCCAGTAATAAAATCAAATAAGGCCATAGAGCCAGCCCCTTTTCTCCAGTAATCAAACTCAGCAGTTTTTTACCAAAGCCATCCTGCTATTTAAGGAGGTAGGGATCTACAATCCAGATTACTTTACAAAGTGGCACTTAGTCCAAGATGGAATATGTGTTGAAGCCATTGGTTTATTATGGGTTTTTCCAGAGCAACTCAGTTACAGTGCAGCTTTACAGGAAAACATACAAGCTAAGGTGCCACCTTTGATAAAGTTTTCTTTTGGTCTAGCCACCCAGACATGGTGCAGGCGGCTGGCCACAGCTCTTACTCCAAGCTTCCCCAACGAGATATGCAGCCTCCAGGTTCCCCTCACAGTTCCCCTGCAGCAGCCATGCTAACACACTCGCTTCCTCCAAAGAAAAATTATGAATGTGTTAAGGCTTACCAAGAAGATAATCACCACTACAAAACCTTTCTCTCAAGCACTTGCTGGGGACACAAGCATCCACGGTCTACAGGGATTACTGCAGGGTCTTACTTCAAATGGAAATGAAATGCCACACTCAGTCAATACACAGATATCACAATCAATCAACTCAGCTCAGAGCTGTTAAAAAAATGCCCAAGACTTTATGAAAAACTATACCTTGAGGAACAATTTCAATGAAGCCAATGTATGCACTTTACTCCACAGATTTCTGACCAAGGAGAGAGTATTCTTGAACCATAATTTAAGAGTGCCTTCTACATGGAGAGAAAGCACACTAGGTACCTGCCCCAAAACTCAGGACACCAGGCCCATACAATGTGGGTTAGGGGTGCCCTCTCCCTGTGGGCCCCTGTGACATTCTAATGATGTCACTTGCACTGTACTTGCCAGGCTACTGTGTACTCTAATGGCTAAGACCACCTCTGAATCACATCGCAAGGCATCCAACATGAGGAACTGTATTAAAGGGTTGCAGAATTAGGAAGGTTGAGAACCACTGCTCTATACCACCAGGGTTCCTATAGAGAAGCTAGGTAAAGATAATCGTTTACAAGTTTCGCTCACAGTTAACAGTCTCTAGTCACAAGGACACAGACGGGGCTGTGGGCAGTTTGGAAGTAGAAGTTTACAGAAGGCAGTACTCACAGAAAGAGTGTATGATCAGAGAAAAGGCATTCTCTCTCTCTCTCTCAAGTTGCCCTTAAAGACAGGAGTGGAGTGTGCTTCTCAGCCCCCACTAAGTATGCTGACATAGATTACTCCCTAACAAGGTCTGCTCGCCAGGGTTTTCAGCATTGTGCAGATAGGATGGCCAGGTGCCATCTGAATATGACACTAGTGACTATTCTCACCATTTTGACATGTATACACTCTCAGAAGGCTCCTTCAGCACATGTAACACAATCTATCCACTATCTCGAGAACATAAGCTCCATGTATAAAAGGTGAACTTGGGCTGTGACTCGTGCTACCAGGTAGCATGTGTGGACAGCGGTGTTCCTAAGGACAAGGCAGGCTTCACTAGAAAGATGAAGCAAGTGTTCCTCTCCTCTGTGGAGGCCAAAGTTCACACATGAAAAGGGCTATCTGAGACTTGATTATTATACCAAGATAAATGGAGCCTGTGCAAAAAAGAAATTGGAAATGTGTTCTATTTCAAAAGTACTGCTGTGTTCCAAATGTCATATATTCTTATCAGCAACAA